CAGCCCCGCTGCGGTGAGGCCAGGCTGGGCCAAGCAGCCCCACGGCACTGCCGGTGCTGGTGCTGCCGCTGTGTCTCTGCGGGAGGCGCCGCTGGGGCTCGGCGAGCGGGGCCGCGAGCGCAGGGCGAGCACAGGGGAGCTGCGCTGCGGGGAAGCGCCACCGCCACCTCCACACACCCTCGCGGGGCAGAAAAGTAACTTTGCTGCGTGAAGAAACTGCAGCCCTTGCGCTCAGCGCATGCATGTACGTTTGTGCTGCTTTGTACTCAGATTCCATTTTTGCAGAGACGGTACAGTACAGTGCACTTCAGGTCAACGCTGTATAGGAGCCTGAGGTCTGTTTACAGAATGTACATATGGGATTATTTTTCAAATATTGTTCTGTTGTTCATTAAAACATTGAAAATCTTAGTGGGAGGCAGAGAGAGTATTATTAGTACTGCAGTAATAGCTCATTCTTCAGAGATCAGGTTTCACTTGTTCTGTGCCAGCAAAGGAAGTTGTAGTGTGCTAGTGGAAAGAAAAGGGGATGGGTGATAAAATCATTTGCAAGACATTCGCATGTGAAGCTCAAGGCAGTTAAGAAACCCCTGCGTTTGTACAGTTCTCTCATCCTCCTCAAAACACGCGGCGTCTGTGGTTCGTTTTTTCCACGAGGGCTGTTTGTGCACGGCCAGATGAGCGCGTCGCGCCCGGGCAGGACACCGCGCGTCCCGTGAGCCCTTCCAGCGCGGCATGGCCGGCCACGGGAGGCTGCGCCCGCCGGGGGAAGCTCCGGCTGCTCTGGTGTTTTATTTCACTTCTAATTAAGCTATTTTTACATTACCTTTGTGTGAAAATAGCACCTTACAATACAGGACTTGTAAAGAAAGCCCCGTTGTCAGCATTCTCCTCCAAAGAGACGAGTTGTCTGCACAAATGTGCTTGAGACTTGTTCAGCAAAAGCACTTGTTTATTTTTCTCTTTAAAACTGATTTTTCGCTTTCAGTTTTTGAAATCTTACCAGAATAAATCTAGAGTAATGGTAATAGTAACAAGAACCGAGAATTACTCTTCTGCCCCCTTTGCCCCTTAGTGCAGCATTTCTCTGCTTTATCAGTGTATATGTGAATTTTCTCCTAAATTTTTCAGTGTAAGAGGAGCCCTTTTCAGCTGGCACCTCTGTATTTTTAACTTATTCCATACGATTTTAAAGGCTCAGAATACACGTGGTGCCGAGTGGTCTAACGAGAGCTGAGGTCCCACGTTTTTGTGCTGCGGGAGCGGCGGCGCGGGCGTCCGCGGCGCGTTTTTTTTCGAAGGGATTCGTGCCGTGCTCCGGCCGCCCGCGGCGCGGGGTCGGCCGCGCGGAGCAGCCTCCTGCGCGTCGGCACCCGAGCGCCCTTCCCAGCCTGGCTCTTAAACAGTCATTCTGGGGACTGTGCGAAATGAAAGCGTGTCTGAAGCTCAGGTTACAGTCTGCTTGGCTTATATAACAGGAGGAAGGAAAATACGAAAAAAAACAAGGTGGTTTTACATTGCTCAGGGTATTATGTCATTCATCCATACAGTGAACATATGCACAGGTAGCAAAGTGCCAAGGTGAGGAAAACAGCAATTCTCAAAAAGGCCAGGTAGGCACTTCAGCTTCTGAAAAAATCAGCAACTTTTTTTAATGATCCATAAAGCCACCAAGCCCAGAAAGCAAAACAGGGAGATGGAAGTCCACCCTGAGCGGAGCAGAGAGGCCAGTCGATCCGGCGTCGCCAGCGCTGCGTGAGCCGGGCTCAGAGCAGGGCCGTGGACCCTGGGCCTGGCCAGCCTTAGTCCTTTCCTGAAGCAGCGGGACGTGGTGAGGACGGAAGCGCAGCAAGGGCGGCCGATCTGCGTCCTTCACCCCGAACGGGGCCGCTTCATTCCTGTGCCCGAGAACCGGCACGTGCGTTTCAGCGCGAGATACCGGCAGCGTTGGGTGGACTGCGTTGCGGGATCAGACAGGCGGCACGCGGGAACATTAGAAACAGATGTATTGCACAGGGTATCAGAAACTTCATTTGGATCCTCCTCAGCATCTCCTGTTGGCTTTGGCAGCAGGGTTGCATCTTGCATGGCAAGCCTCGTTTCATATGTCGAGCTTAGTGTATGGTCAGGCAGTTTGCAGAACAAAAGCTGAATTTGGTTTCAATCTGGCTGATACTAAACAGACTTTGAGTTGAGGGCTTTTGTTTCGATGCCATGGCATTAAACCCTAATGTGAACCTCCCCTTGTCTTGGCAAGGCAGAGCTCTGCACTGTCATTTGCTTGTTGATGTTTTCTGCCAAACAAAAATACATTCTTTAAGGCTCACACTGCTGAATAATTAATTTTTTATGGTTCCTAAAGGGAATGCTTTATAGCTGAGGTGGATCTTTCCATAGGCTGACAGCGCCAGGATTACAGGCGCTGAGAAAAGCTGACGAGGGGAAGGAAGGCATGGACCCTCCAGGGGTGCTTCCTGGGCCTGCTGCGGTGCCTGCGAATGTGCCCGTGCGGGTGCCCAGCCCCACAAGCGCGTAGCCTTGGGGAGCTCCTCAGCCACGGCCGGCACCGTCGGCTGCGTTTATTCCCGCGCTGGTTTGCTGGTGTTTCGTCCCGCAGCTGATGAGCTGCTCGGAGCCTTGTTCGGCCCCAGTACTTTACCTCGCGCAGCAGCGTTTTCTGCGTGGACTCGGAGGTCAGCTGCAGCCCCGTATCCCTGCGTGGCCCCACGGAAGCAGGAGCGAGGCGCGAGCTGCGGTAGCGAGTGCGCAGCGCCCGCGTGGGGAACTTGCTCCCGGCTCCCTGCGGCAGGCTGCTCCGAGCGCTGCTCGCTGCGGTCCTCGTGGCTGGATGTTTTGTCCTCTGCCCTGACAGACGTTTCTCGGGTGGGGACCAGGGCTCCCCTCTCTGGGGAGGAGGAGGTTGGAGCCCGAGGACTCTCGCCCCTGGCCGTCCCCGCGT